GTTGCAAATTACAGGATGCTCGGACGCCAAATAGGTTGCAGTTAACATCGCTGGGGAAAAAGAAATCGGCTCAAAATCAGTCGGCGTCTATGCAATGCTCTGGCTGCGGTAGACAGCGTGCAGATACATGCTCCTTGTTCCCGGCAAATGCCGTGGTCTGGCGCCGAGCTGGCAGTCCCTGTCACCGCATCGCTGGGAAGGGGTCCTGCGGTCCGGAAGCGGCTGGTGCGGTGACTAGAACGAGGACGGCATCGCCCTGTGGGCTGACAGCCCGAGTTTATTGTCACCAACCGGGACCATCTCGGAAATCTGCTTCCTAATTGCCATCAGAACTGGAAGGTCTGAGCTCAATCGCTCTAAAACAAAAACAGGCTTTTTGGTGTGAATCCTTCACTATGTAATTGGACTGTGTCTGGCAACCCCGGGTAGAAGGTCAGTTCCATCAGTTCCCAGGGACACCCGCCCAGCCGGCTCTCCGCAGAGACACGCCGTCCGCGCCGGTTTTGTCCTGCCTTCATGCCTTCAACTTACTTTTATTTCCCCTTTCAAATGTACTCATGTATTTTTCTTAGATACTTTTATTTCAAAGGAAACCTTTTATCGCTGTGAAAGTGCAGGTTTGATGGTCTAGTTATATTCCTTATAATATTTAGAAGTTGTTAAACTATTAGAACAAAATGTCACTGCTCCTGTGCCACCAAAACCTTACCACGTGGCTCCGTGGCCCCTCCGCTCTGGATTCCCCAAGACCCGCCCTGGGAACAGAGAGACCGCCTCCTGAGTCCGCTCCCGCCGGTAACAGCATTCCTGGATGGGGCCGACCGTCCGGGACTCCCTCTCAAGGTAGCAAAGTCTAGGCTCCCAGATGATTGCTCCGTGTTGGGCCCGGGACCCCCTCGGGCTTCCCCCACAGGTAGGGGAGGAGGACCCTTCTCTGCACCTGCAGCAGGGCCGGCTGAGCAGTGCCGGCTCTCTGGAGAGGTGTAGGGCACGTATACAGCAGGCGTCAGTGACGGCGAAGCAGCGTCCCCCAAACGGCGGGCACGTTGGCTCTCAGGATACTCCAGGGGAGGGTTGTCTGTCTGTCTGTCTGTCTGTCTCCCTCTTTGGTTTGCTTTTGGAAACTCAGAGCCCCTTAGAATTTCCCTCTGTCTACTCACAGCTCCTGCAGCTTGACTCAACGTCTGCATATTCTCCTCTGGCAAATAAGTGTCCTGGTTTGGAAACATGCTGGCATTGCAGAGGACACTCTAAGGCACTTTTAGTGGGAAACAGTCCACCCTGCGTGGAGGGGCACCCACGGGAAACCGGGATGCGCTCAGCACTCTGCATCCTGCACAGTTCCCCCGTCTCTGTCTCGTGCAAATCCTTCACGGCTCCACATGCCCTGCTGACCACACGCCCTACTGACCATGTGCCCTGCTGACCACACGCCCTGCTGACCACACGCCCTACTGACCACCTGCCCTGCTGACCGCATGCCCTGCTGACAGTTTCTGGAAAACGTCTCAAGTTCAGGGGAAACACAAACAAACAAACAAACAAACGCATGAATGATTGCAATACAAAAGTAAGCCAGAAATTGATAGAAAGAGGCTTAGACACATAATAGCGTGTCTAAGGTGTGAGCTCAGACGTGTGCCGTGTGCCAGGATGGCCGTCCCGTGTCTACCGGGGATGGTGGCCCTGCCGCCTTCCGTGGGGGACAGAGAGGAGCTAAGAGGGGAGCACTGTGACCCATGGGAGGTGCGGGGGGCTGGGAGGGCCCCGCCTCTCGTGCAGAACTGGAAATCCTTCTCCCTGCTCCCAGGAGCCCCTCGCCCTAGAAGCCCGCGTCCATTTCTTTATGGCCGCGCAGTGGCCGCTGGCTGGACACCCCTTGGGCAGGCCGGTGGGCCACACCGCGTCCTGGATCTGATGTCCACGGCTCTCCCCCACCGACAGCATTTTAAATAGCTTCTAAATGGCTCCGTTTATTAAGTATCCACCCTGAGAATAGGAAACAGAGCGATTCATTTCAGTGGGAGGGTTTTCGAATCCCTAAAAACTTTGCAGAAAAACAGCCCCATAATTGCGGGCCTCACGCGAGTTCAGCGGGAAAACAAGGTAATCTTTTCAAGCCCTACGTGAAGGGCTCTGCCCGGGCTCCCTGAGAAACCAGGAGTGAGGAGGTGAGGCAGCTCATTAACAAGTGTCCTTGGCTGCCGCCCGCCCGCGCTGGGCACACAGGGGCCCGGGGCAGGAGCTGTGGCCCCCTCCTGCCCCCGAGCTGTGCGGGGTGGGCCAGAGACACGGTTCCCGCGGCCGGGGGCGGTGGGGAGGGGGTGAGCAGGCATCTGTCATATGCACGGGGTCCCTGTGCGGCGCGGGTGTCCGTCCCGGGATCGTCTGCAGGCTGAGTGGCCAGGGCTTAATTGCTGCTGTCAAGCCTTGGAAATCAGATTTATGATCCGTGGTCTTGAAGCCTTCATTAGGAGTTGGGGGTGGGGTGGGCGGGAGCCTGTGTTCTCCGTCTCCTACCAAGATGAATGAGTCAGGCGGCAGATATTTTTATAACCATGCTCCCTGGCTTTAATCTCAAATTACAAAATGTGCTCACAGCCCCGCTGATACCGCACAGGGCGACAAAGGTGACGAGCAGCACGTGGTCAGCAGGGGACGTGGTCAGCAGGGGACAATTGGTTCAGTCAGGGCCCTGTGGTCATGCAGTGTGTGCCGTGCGTCAGCCAGGCCGTCGGTCAGCTCAGGTGGACGTGGTCAGCAGGGGACACGTGCAGCAGGGCCCGTGGTCAGACAGGGGACTATTGGTCCAGCAGGGGACGTGGTCAGCAGGGCCCATGATCTAGCAGGGGACAATAGGTCAGCATGGGGAACCGTGGTCAGCAAGGGACGTGTCAGCAGGGACGTATGGTCAGCAGGGCGGACTTGTGGTCAGTCAATGGCACGTGGTCAGCAGGAGCGCTGTGGTCAGCAGGAGGACGTGAGTCAGCTAGGGCGTGCGTGGTCAGCAGGGGACTGGGTCATGCAGGGGGGGACATGGTCAGCAGGAACGTACCGTGGTCAGTCAGGGGATGTGCGTTCAGTCAGAGCGTGACACTGGTTCAGCCAGGGTAGCGTGGTCATGCAGGAGTGTCGTTGGTCATGCAGAGGGATGTGATCAGCTAGGCGTTGTGGTCGCAGGGCGTGTGGGTTCAGCAGTGGTGTTATGGTTCAGCAGGGGACGTGTCAGCAGGGAACATGGTCAGACAGGGCGTGGGTCAGCAGGGGCATTGGTCATGCAGGGGGACATGGTCAGCGGAGACCGTGGGTCCAGCAGGGGGGTGACATTGGTCAGCAGGTGCGTGGTCAGCAGGCGTGCGTGGTCAGCAGGTGGATGTGATCAGCAGGGCT